GGGCGGGGGGGGCAGGTGCGGTGCCCGCACAGCTGCGGGGCCCTTTGTGCCCCTTTACGTATCTCTGAAATCAAGGGGGACACACGGTGACAAAGGTGGAAACCACAAACATCAATGAGTTTTTGTGCACGGAAGCAGCACCCACCGTAGACCTCATAACAGAGATGCTGGAAAGTCAACGTGACTCCATCACATAGTCATTAAAACATAGATAATAATAAAAGGTTGAGCCATGGCACACAGGAGCCATAACCACTCATCACGACAGGCTGGACGTCATTGTTTAGGTAGCTGTTACTTGGACAAGGATTTTGGTAAACTGAGGCCCAACAGGAATGTGTCCTTAAACATTAGCCTAAAATGCTGGTAATTCCAAAACTGGTTTGCAGAAAAATTTTGGTTCAAATGCCTGCCCTCAGCATTGTGAGCTGTCTGCAGATACAGTGAGAGATGCCACACTGCTCCTATCTCTGCCAGACAAGGTACAGACATCCCCATCAGGCTTAGCAGCCTTTCCAGAGTCGTAACTTCACATATTCCTGCCCAGTTTTCATGGGAAGTGCAATCAGCATAGACTTGTCCCGAGTTTCTGTCTTTCCTTCACTTCCAGACAAGCTGCTGCTCTGTTGGGCAGTGCCACTGTGTCCTGAGCATGGAGATCCCTTGTGGTCCTGTCTCCCACCTGGTGAGTCCTTCCTTCTTTGTAAAGCTTCAGTTCCAAACGCAGGGAGAGAAAAAATAAGCTGAAAAGACAGGCCTTCAAATGCCAGGGGAGCAAAGATGCTGCATCTCAGCTTTTTCTTTTTGTGCCATCTTGTTGTGCTGCCCGTTGGCCGAAAGGCGCAGCTGGAGAAGCCTCAGTTCCCCCAGTGCTGCAGTCAGAAGCACCGCTCTTGGCACCACCCGCTGCTGCCCTGGCCCCACCATGCGGGGACCTGCCTTTCATCTCAACCCTTTGCAGGGCCAAGCATCGCACTTCACAAGGAGATGTACAGGAAATAGCATGCTCTGACCTTAAAAAAGCAAATGACAGCAGAAATGGGTAGATGATCAGTAAATGTGTTTAACATCTGTAGGCAGCACATGCTTGGCAAATTTTTAGTTATGGTAACAGCAAATAAGACAAGACAAAAACATTAGGGGTGAGAGGATTCAGGAACCAGAAGCAATCTGGCTTTTCTCAAGCAGAGCTCAGTCGGTGTAATGCCAAACTGCTCAGTCACATTGTTAGACAGAACAGAACAACTTCATACACAAGCAGTACATTTTATCATCCTTAAGTAAAGCTGAATAATGTCCTGTTGTCAGACCACCTTATACAAATTAACAAAATTTTATGTTTCCAACAAAACAAGAACAGTTCTCCAGTGAAACTGTGTATACATGGAAAAACAAAACAAAACAACCAAACAAGCCAGGAATTCCCATGTACAGACGCCAAAACAATCCTCAAATATCTAGCATTGAATTCTGACCAAATAACATAGATTCTTCAAACTGTACTTTAAAAATCAATTTATAGCAGTAAAGAAAAAGGATAAAGATAGATGCTAATCTTTTCAGTGATTAGGTCACTCAATGCTTAGAGCTCATTTGCCTTGCAAATACTCTATTGTTACATGCTGGGTCCCTCCCTACTCACTTAAATTACTAACTCCACCCCAAAAAATAACTTTTGCTGAAACTTCTGGAGGAGATACAGATCCTGTCCCTGAAACCATGGGGCCTGTCAGCTACTCGTCAGAGACCTATGACTTGGTGAGTCAGGCTTTGCTTGTTTGAGAGGATAATGGGGAGAGCAGGTAGAGCTGGGGTGGGCTGACAGATCCATCTGCCTATCCATCTTCTCACCCTCCTGTTAGCAGAGCAGGAGCTTGAGCTGGCACACTCAGGCATCCCATCCCTGAAGTCAGGACTTGGTCGACCAGGGGCCTGTGCTGCGGAGAGCAGACCTTGTCACCCTAGGGCGCCAGGTCTTCCCTTGGGGACACCTGCCTGGCCACCGGCATCTCATACCCAGCCCCCCAATAACCAGGACCATGGTGGCTGCTGAAGGGACTGCTAGGAGAGCTGGGCTGCTGCAGCCCCATCCCATGCTGCTGCCCTGCTCTCTGTGCAGCCATCAACAAAATGTAGGCATAAAAGGCGTGTTCCGAGTCGGGTGTCATTTGCATCAGCCTTTGGTGATATAAATTACTGTGCACACAGCCCTGGAAATCTTGTCTAGTATCCTTCCTTAGCAGGAATACCAAACAAACCCAATGCTGTCTCTCTCTGCATACAAAAGTCCTTGGAATGACTCCACATGCTCCTACCCCTGCTTGCCTTCTCCACAAACATGCTGCCGTAGACTCTGCTGAAAGGGGAATACACCATACAATTACAAGAGGGGAATTTTAAAGAGAGGAAGAGAAATTGCAAGCACTTCTTCTAATAGTGAGTGATGACACTGTGCATTCTGCCCTGTAGTTCTTTCCCCTGGGCTTGCGAGCAAAAGACAGCAACTGCACCTTTTAGAGTATGTTGTGCTATTCAAGGGGAAGTCCACAGCAACGCTATCATTAGCCTGGTTTTCAAATGTTACAGCTCAGAATTTATTTTTTAATATACTGGCTGACTGCAACAGACCTCAGTTTATGTTTAGTTTCTCTAGAGAGAGAATTGCTGGACTAAATTATTACCAATTTTTCCATTCTTTGTTTGTCCTATATAACAGGGAAGAGAGAGGAGATGTGGGGTGCAAGCTCTACCCTTCTTACTTTTTCAGATTCATCCAGTATAAAAATCCTTTGTGAATGGTGGTTATTTCCTTTAAAACTTTTTTTGCAGAAGACACTTCTCTCCCTGGCTTCTCCTGAAGTACAGTGGCAGCACTAATGCTTGCTGAGAAGTTAAAACCAAACTCAACCCTTTTTCATCTTCATGCTGGTTTATTCCTCCAGCTGAACTCTCACTTCTCCATAGCAAGAAAGCTTTGCTCACTTAACCTTCCTCAGCTGCAGACTAGAGAAACTAAAACACAGTTGCAGAAAGACCACCAAGATCTCCACCAGGTCCCCTGAGGTGCTGCATGGAACCAACATGACTCAAGAACCATAAAGGCACCTGTGCTACAGTTACATGGCATTTTCACAGACTTTGCTTTTAGTCCTGGGCTTTCCTAGCTCAGCACCCAGAGAAAGGTAACTTGCATTGATGCAGGCAATTTCAGCTTTAAGGCTCTGGGAATGAAACATGCTTCTCCCAGCCCTGGCATAGGCTAGACAGGAATGAATCACATGGAAAATCCCTAATAGTGCACAAGCTGCCTCTCTTCTGCAGCCAAATGTTTTGATCACCGGCAGTTGTGGGGAATTGAAAAAAGAATCTGACACACAGAGACTGGAATAACTCTGAGATGTGGGTTAGAGGGGAAAAAGGATCCCTGAACAAAGAGAACGGGCTTTCCAAGCAGGCACTTGACTGCTCAGTTCCAGAAAAAGGCACTACTTTATCGCCTACCCCCAAATCTGGCTGATATTGTATTGCAGGAGACTTGTGCAAAGGTCCCCCCATGGACACACTGTTGTCTCCCATCCTAAATCAGGCAGCCATCCCCTCCCAGTACTAGAAATGAGAATCGCTGAACAGTCCCCAGGAGCCTCAGCTTGTCACAGTCAGTGCATCTCCTGCAGCTCTGGTCCCTGCCCTTCCTGTCTCAGCCTGGACTCTGACTTTTCATCCTCTTGTATTTGTCTCCAACTCATCTCTATCCACTCCACCCACACTCGCTGCTCTGCTCAAAGACGCACATGAGAGGATGCCTCCAGCACAGCCAGCACACGCTTCCCCAGACGGAAGAAGAGAGAGTAACTGGAGAGTAACTTACAGTAAGAGCCCTACCTGCTCTCTTATCAGCAATCAGATGGTGTCTGATAACAGCACTCATCCTCCACCAGAATGCAAGGTGATGCTGGAAGCTGTTCAGCAGCCAAATCTGTCAAACATCACGCAGGCTGCCTATCCCCACTGTCATCAATATTCCAGCCAGCAATCCCTGCTATTTCCTGTCATTTCTTTTTTCCCTTTACAGCTGGAACCCTCCAGCCCCTCACCAGTGAAGTCACCTCTTTCAACACATGTTCTCTTCTTCAGATTTTTCAACTTAGCCAGCCACGCATCCTGAGAAAACACACAAAAAAATAAACAAACAATAAACCAAAAAAAAAAAAAAAAGGGGGGGAAAAAAAACCCAACACAACCAGAAAACTACAAATACGTCCTGGCTTTGTCCCTGTACCAAATTTTTAAGGTTTTTGTTTTGTTTGGGGCTTGTGGGTTTTTTTTAAGGAAAATTCAAGGATCTGTCCCTGGCCAACACATCACGGGTTTCTGTGCATGTTAGTAACTCCTGATGCAGGGTCCCAGGATGGACTAGACAGGAAAGATTTTCAAGCCAGACAGAAAACAAACTGGGAGAGATTTCTAGAGGTTTATGTTTTTAGCAGCAATCTCCAGTCTCCCAAATCATACCCTAAAACCAGAAAAATAATTGTTCTCTGCGAACACGAATGCTTCTCACCAAAGGCTTGCAGCCCCACTGTTACATTGAGGAAGAGTCACGTGTGCTTGACGTTTTGGGCAGGGAGGAGGACTCTCTGCCCCTGAGGGGACCAGCTCTCACCTATTTGGGAGGAAGCATCAGGGCATCACACCCAGCAGCAGCACTGCTGGGTACAGAGCTGGTGGGGTACTGAACCATGGCAGGACCAAGAGTCTGTCTGGCTCAATACTCTTTCTGGCAGTAACCAAAGGTGAACATCTGAGCAAGAGCTGGGCAAGCTTATTCTGCCCTTTTCCCAAGAGCTGACTCACCCTCCTACCATACACTCCCCCAGGACTGCCTGAGCCAGCTGCCTGCTCCGCTGTTCAGTCATTTTCTGGGGACTCGTTCCCTGTAAGCAGGCCTGGGCTCCCCTCAGAGCCATGCAGATGGCTTCAGCAGCACAGCAGTTTGAGCTGAGCACTACCGCTGTGATGTCATCTCGTTACCCCACAGGGAAGGCTGCCTGAGAGAGAAGAAACATTCATCACCCTGCTTTAGCTAGGCACAATGCTGCCCTCGAGGCTGGTCACGGTTATTTGGCTTAGCAGCACATGCAGGGAACAAAAACCCCAGAAATCAGCTCTGAAACTGTTTAAAGCAGAGCTAGTATTTTTAGATGGAACTTTGGCTGCCGAGGGAAGGAGCAGCAGGTGCAACCGTCTACAGCTGGCAGTGAAAGGTATGAAAGCAGCAAGCAGAGATTTCCGCTGTGGTTGACACTGGAGTCTCAGCACTAGTCTCCAGAGAGGGTGTGGGTGGGGGAGCTCATGGTAGCTGCTACCAAGCTCTTCCCAGTTGTCACTAACTTCTCAGCATGCTGCAAGCCTCCTGTACTGCTCTTTTTCTGCCCTTCTGCATCTCAGCCCTTTGCTTTTGTGAATGTCCAGCTCCTGTGAGGTGCCTGAGGCCAGCCAGTGTCCCCACTGCCTGAGGGCTTGTCCTGAGCTAGGATGCAGTTTTCCAGTGCCTGGACTTGGGCGCAGTCTCAGCCTGAATACCGGTTGCTCACCTGGCAAGGAGCTACAGCAGGCTGAGCATGAATCACATCTGTGGCAGTTCTATTGCACTTTCCTTACCAGGTACCAGCCCAGGGACTGAGTGGTGTTTTCAGAATCCCTTTCCCGCTCCGACTGCAATTAATACAGAACCACAAGGTTTACTAGCAGAACAAATTTCTCTGTCCAACATCCATCCCTATAGCTCAGAGGCATTCCTCCAGCCGTGTTTAAACAGCTGCCCCACACCTTCTACTGTGTGCATGGAAAGCGATCCCAAATGCAGCTGCTGCTTGCCTTGCCCTGCCCCAGGCAGCTCTCAGGTCTCTGAGGAGAGGCAGAAGGCACAGGATCAGTGCCCATAACTTGAGGTAGAGGTGTGCGCTGCAGTGAATCCCACCACCTTCATACCCATCAGCAGACAGTGCACAGGACAGGGAGAGTCAGAAATGGGCAGAAGGACTGGGAAAGCTGGTAGACAGGATGGTTCTATTCTGTGTGAGAAAGCAAAGGCCAGCAGCAAGTAACTCAGTAAGAACCAAATTATTAAACTGGTTGTCTGTCTGGACAACAAAACACCCTCAAATACGCTAGTTAAAGATTGCAGACTGAGCAGCCCCTTCTATCACAGATCAGGACAACCCTCTCCATGTGCTGCTGCCCCTCCCGAGACCCGGCTCCAGAGGGGTCATAGGGCTACAGACAGGCAGCACCTCCTTCTAGTGCAGGTCTTCCAGGGGCAGCTGAGGGACTGGGTTCCCATGTTTAGAAACTCCCCTTTTGTAACCAAACTCTCTCTGTTCCCCAGAGCCAGGTGGAGCTGAGCGGTTACTATGAAGCTGAGAACACCACCCCTTCTTTGGAAGGCTACTTTTGCTTCAACCCATCCTCATCCATAGTGGGCAACCAAAGAGACCCCTTCAGAAAGGTCTTCATGCCCCTCATCTATCTGCTAATGTTTGTGTTGGGTACTGTGGGCAATGCCTTGGTCCTGGTCATTTTAGAGAGGTTCAAGCGGTCCCGTACTACCACAGAAAACTTCCTTTTCCACCTAACCTTGGCCAACCTGGCACTATTACTCACCTTCCCCTTCAGCGTGGTGGAGAGCTTGGCTGGGTGGGTATTTGGGAAGTTCCTCTGCAAGATCCTTAGTGCTGTGCACAAGATCAATTTCTACTGCAGTAGCATGCTGCTGGGTTGCATTGCAGTGGACCGCTACCTGGCCATCGTTTATGCAATCCACACCTACCGTAAACGCAGAGCTCACTCCATTCACCTGACCTGCATGGCTGTCTGGCTCTGCTCACTGCTGTTGACCTTACCTGATCTCATCTTCATGGAAGTCTGGACAGATGACAGCAACCGCAGCATTTGCTATTTTCCGGAAGTTGGGATTGATGGCAACAATGTCTGGCTAGCGACCCGCTTTCTCTACCACACCGTTGGCTTCTTTGTGCCCCTGTTAGTCATGTGTTACTGCTACATGGCCATCATCCGGGCTCTGTGTCAGTCCCAGCGCTTGCAGAGGCAAAAAGCTGTTCGCGTAGCCATTCTGGTTACAGGCATCTTCCTGCTCTGCTGGAGCCCCTACCACATCGTTATCTTCCTGAACACACTTACCAAGCTAGAAGCCTTCACCAAGAATTGCATCCTGGAAGACCAGCTGGACACGGCCATTATGGTGACAGAGGCCATTGGCTTCACGCACTGCTGCCTCAACCCCATCCTCTACGCCTTCATTGGAGTCAAGTTCCGTAATGACTTCTTCCGAATCCTGCAGGAGCTTGGCTGCATAAGCCAGAAGACCCTGCAGGAGATCCTGGAGGTGACAAGGAAAGGCAGCGGGATCGAGTCTGACAACACCACCTCTATCTCCACTTTCTAGCTGGGAAAGGCTTCCTGCAGGGCAGAACCAAACTGGGGTTTTGCAGTGACGTGTGCTGTGGGTTCAGTCCAAAGTTTCACATACATCTCCATCACTTCCTCCATTCCCCAGAAAACCGAGGTCCAATAGCCAGCAAACAACCAAATCCCACGAGATACCTTACCTGGCTCCTTCTGGTTCTCATACCTATAGAAATCCATCTGGCAGCTGTTGGCGAATGCTGGCTGTCCTGCAGTCACTCTGGCAGGGCCAGATGAACTCGACATTTCCACATCTCCCTGAAAAACTGACTGCAGATGTTCTGTGCACAAAGCCAGACATGAGACTGGGGTGCTTGAGGGCAAGGAAAAAAGTGCAGCCAAGAAAACATGGAGTCATGTGGCATGAGGACTGAGGACCAAAGATACACAGGTCTCCATTGCACCGGCTCTGGCGGTAGAGACATGGTAAGAGACATGCCTAAAGGAAGTGACAGGACTCAGTGGCCACAGTGGCTGGAAGAAGAGATGCAGGGCTCACTCCGATCACACAGCCACGCAGTGCTGGAGGGTCTCTTGCTGCAATACTGCTCTTTCTGCTGCGTGACATCCCCCTGCCAGCCACAGCACATTGATTTTCCCATCTTGGCTCACACCAGGAGGTCCTGCCAGGGACTCAAAAGATCTGACTGTCACAGCTTCCTTTCCTGACATCAGCTGCATCTTTTCCTGCTCATTTGATCTGTTTTACTGCTGTTAAGAGCTCCAGTGAGTGACTGTTGAACTGAATGCCTGACTATGCAAAAGCTTCCCTTCAAGGAAGAAAGCCATCTGGAGAAACGGCTTGTGTCTTTTGACTGGACACAGGGCAGATGAACTATGGCTTTGTGAGGCTGAAGGTGTAACTTTAATTTTCTTTTTTTTTTTTTCCAGCTAGTTGTAAGGCACTTTGTAGGTTCTGAGAACAAGGAGATTCACTGCCCCAGAATAAGGAAAAGAGCTCATTTTCAGAATTTCTCTTTGTTTTTTATCAGGCTAAACATAGTAGCTTGCTTTACACTTTGATTTCTGATATTTTTGCTCCACATACATCTACACGGATTTCAGAAGTTCAGTGCATCCCAGTTTACACGGAGCAAACCTGGGCGCTATTTCTGCCCTGAACCACCAGTATTCAGCAACTGCTCAGATCAGGGCTGCTTGATAACAATTAGGTCCCAAATAAGAGCAGCAGCCTTCTCCACCATTAGTAGTGGCACACAAACTGACCCGGAGGCAGCCGCAACAGCCTAGGGCAGCCAGCTGCTCCCCAGTAGGTCTTGTCACAATGTAACAGCACAGCACTGTCTCCGTTACATTTCCCTTGCTGTACAAGACCCACGCGTACCAACCATCACATGAACATAACCCTGATAACGAGCACTTTACAACCTCACTTTTTAAACAAAGTCAGAACAACATCAACAACTCACTTCTGAAGTTCAGTTCACTAAGAAAGGACTTGGTTGCAGCTGAACTGCACTGTACCCAAGAGCTCCACGAACAAGACCAATCATTACAGAAGGGGTCACATTACATCAGTCCAGCTCAGGCAGAGATCTTAATAGTTCATTCTCAAATTGTGACCTGAGGAGAAAACTCCCAAGCATAAGGCTTTTGTACAAAGAGCAGCCCACCATTTCCTGCAGTGCTGCATCTTCAAAGCTGAAACCTGCAGGTAATGGCGACCGTGGTTGTCCAAGCACGTACGCGCAGCAGAGGAAGAGCAGCTCTCTGAAGCTTGCCTTTGCCATCTCCACAGTTGTACTGGAAACCAAATATGTCGCAGTTTATCGTAAATGTCTCCCCAGCTCTGGTTCTGAGGGGAACTGTGTTCCTACAGAGAAAATGTTACTGAAGAAACCAAGTGTAAAATTCTTACAGTGTTCACATGGCAAAAAGAAAATCTGCACGTAAGAGTGAACAGGTTATGCACCCACTGTTACTATAGCTTTTAGTCCTGGTAAACTTTTAGAAAGTTTTGACGTCAGCTGTAATAAACAGTTAAATAAAATACTGTCCTCTCATGTATAGTGCTTGTAAGCAGTTGTTTGCAGTCATGTCAGTTTTGCAAGGAAAATGCAGAGAGCACTAAAGGGAATGATAGCACTTTTCTGAGGGGCATTGCTGTTCACACATGGAGACCACAGGGCTCATAAAAGCCCCTTGCTCAGTTCGCTTTGCCTGTGCCACAAAAGGCTCTGCTATGTTCGGAGTTGTTTCAGACCTAAATTAGCTCCCTGCTTTACAGAACCTCTTCCACTGACTGCAGTGCCTTCCACCCTGGTTTTATAGCAACAGCTACCCTGAGTAGAAAGGTGCCTTTGCACCCACTTTGGTCCAGCCAGCCTGCTGAATGGCCATGAGAAGAACACAAGAGGAACTCCACTTCGCCACAGAGGAAGCTGGGCTTTCCATTCTAGCAAAGTCCTCCTCATCTCCCCCAGGTTTCCATGGGCATTACATGCCTTGGCCCAGAGCGGGCTTCCAGCTGCCAGAGCTGGCACCAGACACTGCAGCCCTCAGACAAACCTTCAAGGTCCCTGTGAAGTTCTGTTCAGCCCCAGCCCAGCACTACCAGGTGAGGCAGAGGGGCTCTGTGCCCCCTAAGCCACTGTGAAAGGGGCCAGAGGGCCAAGGGGAGCTCCAAGGCAGCTGCAGCAGGTGGGAGGTGGCCAAGGCCATATCACCACAGTCCACTGCACACACTCAGATGGCCCTGGACTATACTCTGCAAACAAGGCTGAGTCAGACAATTCAGAGAAAGCCCCAGTCTCTGCTGAAAGCAACCCCAAGGAATGGGACACAGAGACCCCCACAATAGCACACACCTCTGCATGTCCCATGGGGTGACCAAGCCTCCCATGAGACAGCGCTGGGGTGTTTCAGCCCAGCATCCTGCTGCACACAGTGATCACAGGCCATGGCAGGCAGCAGAGCGTGCAGCAACCAGAGAGCCAGGGCACGCACGAACACACGCGTGCCTGGGAGCGCTGCAGGGAAGGGGCTCTCCCCACACCTTCACACCCCTCCAAGAAGCTCTGGTGCCCTCTGCCCCACTGTGACTCACACACAGTTTCATTTTCCTTCTTAGGAAGATGACCTGCTTCCTCACCCCAATCTCCCAGAATCAAGCAAACTCAAGCATTTCACTGCCTGCTGTATCTTCCTTATTGTGAGCAGAGGTGGCCCCGGACGTAACACGCAGGTCCGCCACAGTCCATGAGCTTGGCTCAGCAGCATGCCATGTGCCCTGGCCAGGCTTCCCACACAGGGTGGAATATCTCTTTCCCCTTCCACAGTGTGTTCTGCATGTGCTCTGGCTCCCTACAAGCACCAAGAAGCTACAACACAGACCAGTTTTGCCAGGCCACAAGGTCCCCAGGACAAGGGAGTACAGTATGAGTTCCATGCACCAGCAGGTCCCTGCTCTAGGTCACCCCTCTGCTCTGCAGTCCTGCCAGGGACTTGAGGTGTCCAAGGTGGCCCTGTCTGTTCCCCGACCCCTAGCCCTGTGCACACCCCTCCACCTACCTGAGAGGACTGTCCTGTCCTGAGTCCCACAAAGGCAGTTCCCTGGTCCTGGCCCAGAAGCTAGAAAAGATGATCCATTTCAAGCCAAAGAAGGTAGAGGAGGAGCTGGCACAGGAGAGGGTGGGAGAGAACAGCTGGCACAGCCTGGATCTAGGTAGTAAAACCCATGATATGGTAATGAAGTGCTCCAACCTGTGTGGTTGGGTCTCATCTGATGCTGAGGAGGCAGAACACAAGCAGTGGGGGGCAAGATGGTCCACCTCACATGGATTGCAACAGATACCCAACTGCTGACACCACTTCAAGAGGGGGCTGCCTGAATTTCACAGGAAGAAAACTCTTAACTGCAGCCACATCTCAGCGTACCTTCAGCACAGACAACTCCTGCAATCCAGAAGAGCTCTCTCCTCCCAAACCAAGGCCCTGCCTGACGTCAGGTATTTATAGAGGGGCCAGCTGAGCCCCTCGCATCAGCCCCAACCTGCCGCAGGTGACACTCACTGAGTTCCCAGGGCTGGGCTGCACACACCTGCTCACAGCCCTGCAGAAAATCATGCAGCTCACTGAACACAGGCACAGGGTCAGGTTTTGAAATTTGTCTTTTTAATAAAAAGGCACCTATAAAACAGGTCAATACATTACAGGCAGCACAGATACCCAAAAACAAGCCTAAAAATTGTTTCAAATAAAAACCAATAAGATGTCTTCACATATTGTATTTATATATTTATATTTATATATATATTTATATAATGGTACAAAATGACTGGGGAAGTGTCTCCATGGGATGACTGAGAACAGGTCAGTCACCATTACCTCAATGTGAAAGCTACTTCCGGGTGTGTGATTATCTGACATACTGAAAGATGAGGTTTCTGAGTGTTTGCTTTTTTGGAGCTGGAAAAACATGGTGAAGTCATGGCTAAAACATGGGCAAACCTTTTACTGTGATTAGGTGGAGTCAGTACACAGAACTCAAGCTTAGAAGCCGAGCAATAGACTACAAGACACAAGACTAGACATGGCTCACGGCAGTGGGCAAGCGGCTGATGGCAAACCCTGCCCAGGGCTAACAAGGACTGGTGGTTACTGAGCTTCCAGAGGAGCTCCTACCATATTGCTGTTCACAGACACAGTTGGGAGTGGCACCCAGGGCAAAGAGGTGTTAGGCAGCACCAAATAAAAACCAATAAGATATCTTCACATATTGTATTTATATATTTATATTTATATATATATTTATATAATGGTACAAAATGACTGGGGAAGTGTCTCCATGGGATGACTGAGAACAGGTCAGTCACCATTACCTCAATGTGAAAGCTACTTCCGGGTGTGTGATTATCTGACATACTGAAAGATGAGGTTTCTGAGTGTTTGCTTTTTTGGAGCTGGAAAAACATGGTGAAGTCATGGCTAAAACATGGGCAAACCTTTTACTGTGATTAGGTGGAGTCAGTACACAGAACTCAAGCTTAGAAGCCGAGCAATAGACTACAAGACACAAGACTAGACATGGCTCACGGCAGTGGGCAAGCGGCTGATGGCAAACCCTGCCCAGGGCTAACAAGGACTGGTGGTTACTGAGCTTCCAGAGGAGCTCCTACCATATTGCTGTTCACAGACACAGTTGGGAGTGGCACCCAGGGCAAAGAGGTGTTAGGCAGCACTTGTTAGAATCATAGAATTGGTTTGGTTGGAAAAGTCCTTTAAGATCACTAAGTCCAACTGCTCTCCCTTTTGTTCAGCCATCACAGAAGCAGGGGTAGGGCTGGCTCCAGGGTGGTGGGATATTTTGCAGATGAGTGGCAACTGCTGCTCCTTAGTCCCCAGCTCTGACCTGCTGTCAGGATTTCCCTTTTGTATCCAGGTCTGCTGAGTCTAAAGGCTTTGCTTCATACTCATTTGTCACCAAAGAACAGGTCTTCCTCCTGCCGCCAGGCAGAAATAGCATCGCTGACCTCCCTAGCACTGCACAGCTGTGTGCCCCAGCCCTGGTAACACCAGGACAACGTGCTGCCAGCACAGCAAGGACCGCAAGCCCCAGGCAACTTCTCAGTTGGGCTGGGTAAAAGGGACAACAGGGAAGGTACAGACATGTGGAGATCTCAACTGGGCTAAAACAACAGCCATCTACAAACAAAATACTTCTGTATAGAAAATATTATGGCTTCAAATTAACTGAGACTAGCTGGTAGGTGATGAGTAAGGTTTGGAGCTGGCAGTGGTATTTGGATGATACTAGAAACTACCAGCAGCCAATACCCCAAAGTGCAGCCAAGAGAAGCCACAGCCTTTCAGGCAAGTCAAGCTTAGAAAGAGCTACATCTGTTTGAGCCATATCCTCCCACATGAAATGCACCTTCTGAAAGGATGGAGAATCCAACCATCAGGTCCAAAGCACACCTCATTAGCCTTGGCTGAAGATTCTTTATCTGCTCCAGCCACCCAGGCAGAAACGGGCACTTTGTGGGATTGCTCCCATTTTGCCATCCTGAAACAGCTGGTCCCTCACATTGTACACAACAAAACCACACAAAGCAGGGGACCAGAGCAAAATTCCTCCTCCAATTCAGACCCAAGCTTCCTATCCAGTACTGCTCACTACAAAATGCCCCAAAGCTTCCAGGTATTCCTAACTGGACTTTATGGCTCCATCTTCTAACACATTGGATCAAGACAGCCACTGGCTGATGTTCCAGCACCCATTGACCTTTCCAAACAGCCTGTAACACGATAAACAGCTACTTGACAATCAATCTCCCTTTCCAACAGCCCTCTCCTCCCTGCAGTAGCAAGAAGGGAAAGGTGAGCTCTGTTATGAGAGAGGTAGTATGCTAAATCTGGCTCTGCAGCGATAATCTTCCAAATGGAATTCCTCTGGCAGTCATGTGCCCCGAGTTCAGCACTGGACACCCACAGGGTACACCATGCTGGATTGCAGTCCCCGCTGAGGTCCAGAGATACTGTGCTGAGTGCAGAAGTGTGTGCGCGTCACCCCATGGTCCCCTCCATGAACAAATGTGAAGGACCATCAGTGCTGCATGCAGGAAGACCGCATGGAGTGGAGGATAGGGAGGAGCACATCCAGAAAAGCTGGAGTTGTTCAAATGGCATGTGTCTGCCAGCCTAGGAATGAGGGGCTGCCACGCAACCTTGGTCTCTTCTGTCCAAAACACAGGATGGCCACACCACTGATACTGCACTCTTAGAGTGAGATGGAGCATTGCACACAGGGACAGGTTGTCCTCAACAGCTAGACCTCTATTGTGCAGTAGGGCAGGGCTGCTGCCACTAGCAAGGCGGAGCAAAGACCGCCTGTGAAACTCCAGAGGAGGAGTGAGGGGAAGTGAGGAAGACATGGGAGAGCATTCAACAGCAGAGGTAGAGGGAGCACAGAGCAGTTGCGGAGGACAATGGTGGGATAAAGGACTGGTGCAGGAAGGCTGCAAAGGAGCAGGGTTCCCAGCCAGCTCCTCCTGGAAGGACAGGAATGCACCACCTTGCTCATCTTAGACCCCATCTATTCCTACATATTCACAGGTGACAGTATGAAGGGAAAAGGAGGGTCCAGAGGTGACACATCTGGTCGAAACCTTTGGGTCCAGCACATTACTGTCTGCAAAGCTCAGATCCTCCACTATCTGTCCTGCTGGGGAGCCAGCATCCTCCCCGTTTCAGCCATGGCAGCTTTGCCATCCAGCAGCAGCTGTATCCTGTGAAGCTGCAGCATCTGCCCTGCCAGATGAGGGCTGCCCCAGCAACGTTCCACCAGCTCAGATCTCCCTGATGGTCCTCAGCATTGGTTGCATTCATGTTATCTGCACAGCCTTCACAGGGGCCTAAGGTCTGCGTGAAACTGTAACACCTTGCACATGCAAACTGTTCAGACACGTGAACAACACAGGTTTGGCACAAAGTCACTCTAAAATGGGATCTCTCAATGCCCTGTGCACCCTGGAGGATCCTCCTGCCTCTCCCCCACGGAGAGTCTTCAATCCTTGTACACTGTTGCCTTTAGCATGTTTTCTGTTTCTGTTTTTTTAAAACATGTTTTGAGGCTTCTATTAAAACACAGAAATACAGAACAATTAAAAACCAGCACAAGTTTTGCCTTTCCCAGCGACCTATTTACAGCTAGTTCCAAAAACCCTCTTGCACATTTTGGTTGCTTAAAAAAACAAACCAAAACAAAAAAACCCCAAACATACAAACAAAACAAGAAAAAAATAAAGAAAAAGGAAATAAAAGAGGGACAGAGGGGAGGGAAGGAAAGAAAAACACTTGACAGAGGAAAACTATAACATTTACAAACTGCCACAGGGTTTGGGTGTCCCTGGTCACCACAAAGGGTTCAAAAGTAATAGCCCCACTCACAGCCCTTCCTCCCCCCCTTCCCCAAAAAAGAAAGGAAAAATAAACCCAATTCACATCAAGTTTACTGCACATCTGGTTTTCTGTGTAGAGGCAAATCCGATATGAAAAGCATCCCACATAGTGTCCTCCACCAGCATTGGCCCCCAACCCTCCCCCAAAGAAAGGTTTAAAAAGGTTTGTCCAGGCAGCCCCGTCCCCTCCCACCCCGAGCATCAGCCAGGGTTAGAAGGGCAGGTTCGCCATGTTCCCAGGCCCAGGGATGTAACTCATCTGGCTGTCCAGGGAGACACTCCTCTGCCTCATCTGGTGTGTGACCATGAGGTTCTGCTGAGGCGGGGGCCCCATAAGAGAGCCCTGAGGTGACATCATGTGTCCTGTCTGAGCATACATCTCTCCTGACACAGACATGCTCCTCTGCTTGGCCTGCATCAGCATGAAATTCTGCTGGGCCATCAGGCTCTGCTGCGGAGACATCATGCCCTGGTGCATGCTGTTGCCCATCATGCCTTGCTGGGGTGGTATGCCTGTCCTGCCCAGCATGGGCACTTGTCCGGGGTGGCACATGGGCATGCTGAGTCCCCGCTGCATGGTCTGCTGCCCAGGGATGCTGGGCGCATTCATACCTGGCCGCACCGGGGGCTGGTCAGCCATCATGTTCTGCAGGTTCATGAGGTGGAGGTTGGAAGGCTGCGATTTGGGCGCTTGGTTGTCACTCTTGGGAAAATACTGCAAGGTGCTGCTTGGCTTCTCTGACGGAATGATCCTGGACAGGTCAAACTCAGGGATACCCGTGGGCGTGGGGCGAATGACCTCGCTGAGCTCAGGGTCATTCAGCACCGATGCTACCCCAGGGAGCACAGGTGGGTAGGGCTCACCGATGCGGGGAGGGATGTTCTTGCCCATCATGTGCTGCTGAGGGGGCATCTGGCTGGGCTGCTGGGGGGGAAGGTCCTCAGGTGGCAAGGGCAACCCCAGCGGGTAATGCTGCTGCATCCCAGGGCCACCTCCCCCGCCAGGGGCCATGGACATGCCTCCAGCAGGAGATGGCATGGCGTTATGGGGCTGCTGCATGCGGGGGAACACAAGCTGGTTGGAAGGAATCATCTGTGAACTGTTTGGCACGGGGCCGCACTGCTGGTTCAACGAGTCCTGAGGCCCCGGGGGGAGCATCATGGGGTTCTGGGGGGGAACACCTGTCCCTGGTGCACTGGGGTGCATAGGAATGTTGGAGCCCAGAGGGTTTGGGGAGGACATCATGGAGGTGGGAGGTGGTTCATGAGAGAGGGGTTGCTGACCAGGCAGGTTCATTCCCATGGGGCTCTGAGAGGATCCAGGCCCCACCGAGTTCAAGTGCAGTTGATTCGGCTGATTCCCTGTCACACCTAAGAAGAGAAAAAGAGAGAAGGTTAACTCTGCCCACAGACCTCTCAAGGCTACCATGTCCACACCCTGGAAGCCTGCCAAGCACTCACAAAGCCCCGAGTGCAGAGCATGATGCTCAGTAAACAGCCACAGGACGGGACTGCAAAGCATCGACATCAGGAAAAAGCGACCCAGACTCCAGGTTCCCAAGCCCATGAGCAGCAGAGAACTATTCCAGCTTCATTCAGGCCCAGGCTAGATTTTTATGTCTTTCTAGCCCACTGTTTCCAGAGTCCCAACCAGCTCTCCCTGTTGGGACAACCGTACACCATGATCTCAGCAGGGCTCTCAGCTGCCTGGAGGGCAGGAAGGAACCTGAGGAGGAACCCTTCACCACTGCTTGCCTGCAGGGTAAGCCACCCGGCAAGCTCCTGCAACCACACGACCTCAGGCAGTGAGGAGAAAAAAGCAGAAGAGAAAGCAGCAGACCCCGATGCAGACCCAGAGGGAGGCCTGTGCTGGTCGGTACAGCACCACCATCAGTGCCTGACAAGGGGCTTGGGTGAGGAGGGCAACAATGCATTTGCATGCCTGCAGTCAACCTAAGGGACTACTCGGCAGTGAAAGAGCCAAAAAGTTGATTTTTCATTTTGAAAACTGCCAAAAATATTTATCAGACAGCTTTAAACCCCCAAAACAAGTGCTACAGCATGCTGGAATTCCCCTTTGGGCTGGTCACCAAGTGACAAAAAACATTCATTTGCCTAGCTGTCCTTACCAGTGCCACCAGCCAGCAGAGCGTGTCTGGCTGTCGCCTACTGAAATCAGAACTGTGCTATGACACAGCCTTGCCTGGACAGGCACCTGGGCTGCACTCAAAACACCAGACTCCCAAACCCTGTTCAGTGTCCCTGTCCTGCTGCACAAGAACACAAGGGCTCCAAGCAGAAGACCTCCAGAGACCTGCAAGTCCTGGGCCTGAAATAACTCCAGAAGCCACAAAATTCCAGGGCCGGCACATCTGCACAGGGTAAAGGCAGTTCCGAAAACTTCCAGCGCTGGCGGAAGAAGGGTGCCTCAAATGCCAGACTGGCGCATGTCCTTCCAGGCAGCACACTCAAGCCAAAACTGATGGACAGCCCGGGCACAAGGTGGAGGACTGAGCAGACTATTATGAAGGAGGGCAATTTTAAGCTATTAGACATGGCAGTTACTGGGAGAACACAGTTTCTAGTCCCTCCTCCACCTTGTGCTGTCAGCAGCCACCAGATGGTCTGATCCCTTACAAGCCCAGCCCCAGGAGTATGTACCTGACATGCTTCCAGGTGGGAGCATAGGCCGGTCTGGCAGCAGCTCATCATCAGAGGTGGCGATGGTTTTGATGGCATTGTGGTAAAGTGGTGTGGAGCTGGGCATAGCATACTTGGACATCTGGGACATCATCAAAGAGAGGGGGTTCTGGGAGGGGGATGGATCTGGAGAGGAAGTAAAAGGCATGTTGGGATTCATGGAGCTAGAGGTGTTACTGGCTGGTGCGGAAGAGCTGCTCCGAGGCCCAGAAGGAAGAGAACCTGCAAGCAAGAGAGAGATCAGCTTAGTACATCCCAACCACCGTGACTTGCTCCCTTCAGACAGCAACCCCGTCCCCTCCTTCTGACAGTAGTGACTAGAGAAGGCAGCAAAACGCATGGCCCATCACCCTCTGGACACTGAGGAGGCTCATGTGGAGGAGACCCAAC